ACTGAAAAAGCAGGGTTGGCATCATGATAACAAGCATGGTCACCTTAAGTCTCAACTCTGAGCCTCCTCTTGGAAAAAATGCCCGCATTCCAAACAAGTCCATCTACAGACTCTAAGCCTCCTCTATGAGCACCAAGTAGACACTCTCTTTGCTATGTTTTGGCACAAAGAGCCAGACATCAAGTACTACGTGTGCACAATCAACAAGACATTTGCCAAACCAGGCCAGCGCATGGTATGCTCAAATGCACAGCCTATTCAATGTTTACTAACTTCATAATGTAGCAAGTTGTATCTCCATACCACACAACTCCCACTTTTTATTGTTTTTTTAACAGAAAAGATGCTCATTTATTCTAACCGAGTATCTGTGCTTTTAACCTTATCTTTTCAACACCACTACTAATGCTTTAATGCCATCCGCACACTGTATATGAAAATGATTAATTTGCCTTGTGTAAGCCCAATTTTCTTTCATCGCCATTCTTTACCACTCTCATACTTAGTTATACTCAATCAGATTCATTGAACTCTTTACAATATTACTTGTTTTTTCTTAGAGCTCTATAATCTACTGTAGTCGACCATTCAATTACAAGCACATCTATTTTTAGTTCTTCATCTTCCTTTACTACTTCACTCTTTTCATGAGCTTCACCAGCCATTTTACAGAATATGAAATGTTGTTTTCTTATGCATTTTAATTACCTTTACAACTGTAACTTTGTGATGATACAAACGAAAGTTGCACATATTTTCCTATTTATACTATTGTTCTATCCATGCTTAAAATATAACAAATCATATTCTGTTCATACTACTTAACAGTCAGCAGTTTACTTATGTTACAAATACCAATTACATTCCCTTTCTCACCTGATCAACACCTGATCTGTTGTTATTTTTCTCCTACCACTTATGAAATTTCTACTTTGCCTTTTCTATCTTACCATTTTTTCATTCGTTTGTTCTCTGTTCATACACTAAGCTGTACATACTCAAATCGTCAATTGCACACCAGAAATATTGACTTCTCTTTGCTCTTTCATGAGCCATTTTACTTGACCATTCAGAATGTTGGGTCCTCAAGACGTGTAGTGAATAACAGTACTTTGCTAACACCATTAATATCATGAATATCTATAGAACACGCTTTTATCTTCCATATCACACAACAATTTATGTCCATGTAAATAACTTACTTTCTTCTACCAGTATTTTCAGGTTAACTATACTGAAGAGAACTTGCAGGACTACATTGATCCAAACAATGATACACTCATGGTCAGACTTCTGCTCGCCGAATGTTGCATCATGCTAGGAATGGACAAAAGGGCCACTATAACCACCAACTGGCCTGAGTTTTGTCGCCGCGCCAACATTCGCGAGGGAGACATCTGTGCATTTCGTTTCAGGATAACTTCAAAGCGCCGCCTGGTTCTCACCGTGCATTACCTCTAGATGCACCATCGAAGATGATGCAGCCCCTGTGTCAATATAATCTAGCATTAAGTACTCCTAATTATGTTATATCCTGTGATAACCTATTGGTTGCTTTTGGGTCTTCTTATCACATGTTTTTCAAGACACTAAACCTACGTTGCTGCTTATGTTAAGTGCACTATTGTCAGTCAGATGTTTCATGTTCAGATCCATAATAAGCTTTCTCTGTAAAGTATATATTTTTATTTTTGCTGCTAAGTTTCTTAGCTAAATCAATTATCCCAAATGCTAATTAGAATAGAAAAGAGTGTTAAAGGGGCGAGTACAACCAGGCACCGCTCAGCCACCCTTCAAGAGGCGCGCCACGGGCACGCCCCAACACCTAGTTCAATGAACATATTGCCCAAACGTCGGCCTGCCACGGGCACGCCCCAACACCTAGTTCAATGAACATATTGCCCAAACGTCGGCCTTACGTGGCTTGATACTTACTTTTGTAAGGTTTCGCTGGTAAAGGCTGCCCCACACAGAATGGTCAAGCCAACCCCGACCCGACTCCCTACTTGTTGGACAAAGCAGCAGGGAGGATACCGAGATTAGTGGCAAGTGTGAAGCCTATCAGGCCAGACGCCCTGCAAAAATATGTGTCTACATATCATGCTATGTAGGCCTGACATATCGGCCATGTTAGTTTTGGGAATAATGTTTTAGTGGTGTCATATTATGTTGCTAGTAAGTCCCATAAATAGGATATATTATGTCATTATGTTTCTTCAATGGAATAAATTAATGAACAATTTACTCAGCACAGAAGTTCTTTGAATTCGTATAAGACCATGCTCCTTCTTTTTAAATATTACCCTAATATTAGAGCATAATAAAATAAGAGTGCACACATCTCCAATATGATTGTACTTAAGAGAAGAGAGAAGGCATACTCACATTCATCAACTTCAGTCTGCTGGTGTTCAAATCTCAGGTTTGGTGTCCGGTGTGTCTCACTAAGAGCATCTCTAGCAGACTTCTTAAAAAATAGTCAAACCGGTAAAAAATGATGTTTCCATTTTTTGCTATTAAAAAACACCCTGAATAGAGCCCATAAAAATGGTCAAACCCGTAAATTTTCTCATGCCCCTGAGAATCCACCTCCACAACCCTTTTATTTACAAATTTGGAGGCAAAGATGAGGGTTCCCTAAAAACCGGTCAACGCTACGCGAGAAGGGAATTCCGCCATGCACACACGGGCTCCGGTGACCTTCCGCCATGGAACTCGTCGGAAACTCGACGCTTACGACAGTTGCGGCGACGGGAGCTAGCTCCTGGATCGATTCGATCGATCCGTTCAAGCAACTACGGTGACGGGAGCTAGCTAGCTAGCTCCTGGATCGGTTCGATTGATCCATTCAAGCAGCTACGACAACGGACGCTAGGGGCGCTTCATGCGAGCCGTCCTGGACACCGCTGGCTCCGTATTTGGCTGATTCGTGCGCTGTCTGCCGGCTTCGTAGGAGCGAGCTAGCTGACGCAGACACGGGCGAGAGGAAGAAGAAGACGCGGGGACAAAAATGCAAGCAAATATTCGGTTTTACAGTTTATGTTTGAGGAGTTTGTTCGGCCGCAGCTCAAACCGATCCTGAAAACGCTTTTCCGCGAATTGAAAATCGCGTTTTCAGTTCCGCGGTTTAAGGAGTTTGCTAGAGATGCTCTAAGATGAAATATTCTTTCCATGATATGTGACCAATCTCAGGTTTGGCGTCCGGTGTGTCTCACTAAGACATAATATTATTTCTATTGTATGCGGCCTATCCGTACACAAGCAGATGTCAGGTGACTTTATCCATCTACTAGAGGCTCAACTATGTACTTGAGTGTATCTATGCTTATTGGATTGGACTGGCGGGGATAACTAGAAATATCAACTAATCAATGGGTGTGTGGTGAATATATGCAAACATGCATCCGTCGGTAAGCTAGCGCTCAGGGCTCCAATGACCTTCCGTCATGAAACTTGCCGGAAACTCGACGCTTACAACAGCTGCGGCGACGGGAGCTAGCTAGCTAGCTCCTGGAACGATTCAATCGATCCATTCAAGCAGCTACGGCGACGGGAGCTAGCTAGCTAGCTATCGATTCGATCGATCCAGTCAAGCAGCTACGGCGATGGACGCTGGGGCGCTTCGTGCGAGCCGCGCTGGACACCGGAGGCTCTGTTTTTGGCTGATTTGTGCGTTGTCCGTCGACTTCGTAGGAGCGAGCTAGCTGACCGTAGATACGCGCGAGAGGAAAAAAACGTGGGAAAAAATACAAGAGAATATTTGGTTTTACAGTTTAAATTTGAGGAGTCTGTTCGGCCGCAACTCAAACCGATCCTTAAAACACGTTTTTCGTGAATTGAAAACTGCATTTTTAGTTTCGCGCTTTAAGGCGTCTGCTAGAGATGCTATAAGACGAAATATTCTTTCCATGGTATGCAACCAATCTCAGGTCTGGCGTCCGGTGTGTCTCACTAAGACAGAATATTCTTTTCATGGTATGCGACCTATCCGTAAACAGCGAGATGTCTGGTGACTTTATCCATCTACTAGAGGCTCAACTATGTGCTTGTGTGTGTCTATGCGAAATGAAACGTGTATCTATGCTTGTTGGATTGGACTGGCGGGGATAAGTAGAAATATCAACTAATCAATGGGTGTGTGCTGAATATATGCGAACATGCATGTGTCGGTAAGCCAGCGCTTGGGACTCCGGTGGCCTTCCGCCATGGAATTCGCTGGAAACTCGGCGCTTACAGCAGCTGCGGCGACGGGAGCTAGCTAGCTAGCTCATGGATCGACTCGATCGATCCATTCAAGCAGCTACGGCGATGGAAGCAGCTATGGCATCGGACTATGGGGCCGGGGCGCTTCGTGCGAGCCGTTCTGGACGTCGGCGGCTCCGTATTTGTCCGCTTCGTGTGTTGTCCGCCGGCTTTGTAGGAGCAAGCTAGCTGACCGTTGACACGTGCGAGAGTAAGAAGAAGACGTAGAAGAAAATATAAGCAAATATTCGGTTCTATAGTTTAAGTTTGAGGGATTCGTTCAGCCACAGCTCAAACTAACCTTTGAAACGCATTTTCCGCGAACTGAAAACCGCGTTTCTAATTTTACGGTTCAAGGGGTCTGCTAGAGATGCTCTAAGACGAAATATTCTTTTCATGGTATGCGTCAATCTCAGGTTTGGCGTCCCGTGTATCTCACTAAGATTGAATATTCCATGGTGTGCGGCCTATCCCTAAACAGCGAGATGTCTGATGACTTTGCCCGTCTACTAGAAGCTTAACTATGTGATTGTGCGTGTCTATGCTTGTTGAATTCGACTGGCCGGGATAACTAGAAATATCAACTAATCAATGGATGCGTGGCGAATATATGCATTCGTAAGCTAGGGCTTGCTATAAATAGCGGGGCTTACACACTAGCAATCATCCATCTCACTCTCAGGCTGGCTAGCTAGCTACACGTACGTTCCCTAGCTAGCTAGCCACTAGCCAGCTCTAGCTAGTTGCATCTTGATCGAATGGCGGTAAGTGATTGCAGCTGCATGCATACTACTTACATATGATGTGATTTGCTTGTGATTGAGCACTAGCTAAATCCAGATTGGTTTGTGTGGTATGGGGATGTATATAGGGCGCAGTGAAGATTGGTTCATGGGGTCTACCCAGCGGAAAACTTTGCGACATCAACAGCTACAGCAGCCCCCAACGCCTCATCAGCATCACCGTGTATAGCAACGAAACCCCTGGAGGCTGCATCGTTGGCTTCTCCTTCACCTACGTGGACCAGACCGGAGGGGCCATCAACGTCGGCACATGGGGCAACACCTGGGGAGGCGTCAAAACGGTACACAGCACACACGCTCGCTCTCTCTCTCTCTCTTTTGGGCCACTCCAACATGCATGCAGAAATTTGAGAAATTTGAGCGCATGCATGCATGCAGATTTATATGAACCAGGGGGAGCATGTGAACGATGTGAGCGGCACCTCCAACAGCAGAGGGGTGACCTCGCTCAAGATAGTCACCAACCAGGGGGACCGCGGCACGTACGGGTGTCCGGCGGGCGACGCATTCAGCGTGCCGCTGCGGCAGGGCAAGAACGAGGTGGTGGCCTTCTTCGGCCACTCCGACGACACCCTCAAGTCCCTGGGCGTCTACGTGCCGGGGGCCAAGGAGTGCCCCGTCAAGATTGGCCCCTGGGGCGGCCACCTCGGCTCCTCCAGGGACCTCTACGCCAGCAACATGCCGGTGCAGCTGCAGAGCATCGCCGTCCGCAGCAGCGAGAGGTCCGGCGGCCGCGTCTTCGGCTTCTCCTACAACTACTTGGACAAGGCCGGCCAGCGCATCAGCGTTGGCCCCTGGGGCTCCAGGACCAAAGGCCAGCAGCGCAACATCGCCATGAACGAGGACAACTACGTCACCTTCATCAGCGGCACCTACGATGACTACGGCGTCACCTCGCTCAAGTTCGAGTCCACCCAAGACGACTACGGCCCCTTCGGGTGCCCGGTGGGCACCGCCTTCAGCGTGCCTGTGCGGGATACCGGGGCCATCGTCGGCTTCTTCGGCCGCTCCAGCGCCGACGGCCTCGTCGGCTTCGGTGCCTATGTCGTGCCGCTGGATGACTAGCTATCTGGTAGCTAATTAACGATCCAGACTATGCATGCATTCTTACACCTATTGTACTACCGCATGCCCAGTGAGTTGTGTTAAAGAAACAAGGCAGCTACTATGCATGATGCTATACATGTGTGTGGTGAATAAGGATTACTTATGCGAGCTTGCGTGTACGTTAGCAACATGCATGCATGTATGTGTGCTCACATGCAAATATATATGTACACTACTGTAAGTTTGCCGTCCGAATATATATGAAAAAAATAGTATTTATATATGATATGTATGCACTCCTTTGACTTTAATTCATTAATTAGATGGATTTATAATTTTATTATACTGTGCATGGAGATTATTTAGGATGAGCCTACAATAGAAGAAGAGACTCTTCTCCCCTCTCTCTCATACAGATGATTTTTTTCTTTTCTTTTCTAAGGGTGCATACAGATGATTTCTTGGGTCAAAATATTCAATGTATTCATTCATGCACATACAAGAGATCTTGCCCATAGTTTAGACCTTTTACGGTAGATCAAAATAATATAAACTGTCCATTTCTAGTCATTTAATGGACTGGGTCCATCAATACTACTAGGAAAAATCAGTAGTATATTTTTTTGAAGGGGTAAAATTGGAAGACAAAATCCGTGTGTTTTCTTCTCGTGCTTTAACGGGACTGCAGAGACCGGACCGGACATGAGATGGCTTCTTCCCGGACAGTATTTTTTAAAAAAGGAGGATTACCCCTGGCCTCTGCATCCGAAAGATGCATGCGACCATATTATTAAAAAGTGGCGGCAATTAGCAAAGTCCGAGATCCAATACAGCTCGCAAACAGAGCAAAGAGAAAAATGAAGACAAAGTGAAATCATAGCCACAACTGGCTGGAAAATAGGACAAAGTGACTAAACATCTATTCCGTTATGAGACCGCCATCCAAGCCGGTTGAAGATACCCCGTGCTACCATCTCCCACTGGTTGCACCCAGTAACCGAATGCTCCCTAAAGTCCATAGGAGTGAGTAACAACCACATATGGTTCCATGTCGTAGTTCTGAAAATAACCTGCAAGAAATTTGAAGTATTTGTCTGTTAAAGATCATATCGTTCCTACAATTCCATATAGCCCAAAGTAGCGTGTATATTCCAATCCGAATACGTGCCACAATAGCAGGTTCCACTCCAGTTAGCCACGTCCCAAATAACGCATCAATACTAGCTGAAGGAGTAATGTTAGCGGCTATATGAATGGTTTGCTAAAGTAATTTCGCGAGAGGGCAATCTATGAAGAGGTGTTGTTTAATCTCGGTCACAAAAACAACATCATACACTATCTACCCATCTATGAAGAGGTGTTGCTAAGGATCACCTGTTTGTGGACAAACCACATGAAAATTTTGATTCACAAGGGAACCTTAACTTTCCAAATATGCATCGGTCTTGGGATTGCGCCAGACTTAATTAGATCCAAGTACATAGATTTAACCGTAAACACTCAATTTCCCATTAACTTCCAGTGAATGTAGTCCGGTTGGTCGGAGAGTTGAACATCCATCAACCTCCGCACAAAGTGTAGCCAGGAACTTCAACGTTCCCCTACTAAAGACCTCCTGAACTAGATATATAAAGGTACCACATATAATACTGTAGTCACGTAATCCTCCTTAGGTTGCACAATATTATACAAGGTGGGATACTATAGGGCTAGAGGTGTCTTTCCTAACCACATATCCTTCCAAAACCTTCTTGTCGTTCCATTACCAACAACGAATTTCACCCTATGAAAGAAGATATCTTTTGTTCTCATGAGTTCCTTCCAAAACGGTGAATCATTAGGTCTTACGGTAACCTGAGCCAGAGATTTAGATTGTAAATATTTTTCCAGTAAAATCTGTGCCCACATACCATGCACCAGTCTCTTCGGATAACAAATATAACCATTCATTAGGCATTTATTTTTAATCTCTAGGTTCTCAATACCAAGACCCCCCCTCCCCCCCGGTCTTTGGGTCGGCAAATAATATCTCATCTTGCCAAGCGGTATTTTGCCTTAACCTCATCTGACTGCTAGAAAAACAAGATCGATAGAAGTCTAGTCTCTTCCGTACCCCTTTAGGTACCTCGAAGAAAGATAACAGGAACATCGACATACTAGTTAGTACTGAATTGATCAGCACCAGCCGACCTCCATAGGACATAAGCTTACCCTTTCAGCAACTTAGTTTTTCGATGCATTTCCATTCTTTATTAGTTAATTTACGATGATGAATTGGAATGCCCAGATAACTAAACGGTAAGGATCCCAATTCACATCCGAATAATTATCGGTAAATATCTTGTTCCTCTTTGGCCCTACCAAAGCAAAACAACTCGCTCTTGTGAAAGTTAATCTTTAGTCCCGACAATTGTTCAAAGAGGCACAACACTAGTTTCATATTCCTAGCCTTTGCAAGATCATGCTCCATGAAGATAATAGTGTCATCGGCATATTGTAGGATAGAAACTCCCCCATCAACCAAATGGGAAACAAGTCCACCTACTTGGCCATTCTCCTTGGCCCGACCTATAAGCACGGCCAACATATCAGCCACAATGTTAAATAAGATAGGAGACATCAGGTCTTCTTGTCTCAGGCCCTTATGAGTCTAGAAATAATGACCGATGCCATCATTCATCTTAATCCCGACACTATCTTTTTGGATGAAGAAATCCACCTGACTCCATGTTCCATTAAACCCCTTCATGCACATGTCCTGTTGTAGGAACGGCCACTTGACATTATCATACGCCTTCTCAAAATCCACCTTGAAGATCACCGCATCTAGTTTCTTCGAATGGATTTCATGTAAGACAACAACCCCTTCTAGGATATGTCTCCCAGGCATGAATGCAGTCTGACTCGGTTGCACCACCGAATGGGCGATCCGTGTAAATCTATTGGTGCCTACTTTCATGAATATTTTGAAACTCACATTCAAGAGACAGGTTGACCTAAACTGCTCGATTCGAACTACTTCTTCTTTCTTTGGCAACAACATTATCGTACCGAAGTTAAGATGGAAGAGTTGCAGGTGGCCATTGAAGAAGTCATGAAACATAGGCATAAGGCATCCTTGACATGCCAACATTTCTTATAGAATTCCACCGGGAACCCATCTGGTCCCGGTGCTTTATTCGGCTTCATCTGAGATATCGCATCGAAAACCTTTTTCTCAGTAAAAGGTGAAGATAGAATCCTATTTTCATCTGAGATATCATGCCGAAAACCTCTTTCTTAGTAAAAGCCGAACGGTATTTTTGGCCGAGGAAATCACCATGTACAATAGATTGATTGATCATGTCCGGATGCACTAGATCGTACGTGATCAGTCGATTGTTTTCTGGTTGCACTCAAATCACGCAGGCACAAGCAGCGGGGGCATCTCAGAAGGAGCAACAGCGACCACGGCGCCGGACGCTGTAGGGGCGGCTCCGTGGCCTGCTGGTTGATGTGATGCCCGGTAGGAGACTTGGAGCTCCTACTTGAAGGGCACGGAGGCCAGCTCTGATCAATTGTTGAACATGGTCATTGATGACCGGCGACGACAACGACGAGGCTTCATGAGGATGGTTACCGCCAGGGATTTTACAAATTAAGAAACAATAAAATGACAAAACCACCCCACTATTTAACGGCTGCAATGATTCAATACTACCGGTTTCAGAAGTAGCACGATGTACCGCAAAAAAATATAGGAAAGAAAGTTAGCTTGGTCAGGGCATGTCCTAAAACCATTGCCTCCTAAGTTAGGGGTGAAATTGCTTTTGTGACCGCTGCATAGGTCTAAATTACATAAATACAACTTTAAACACAAAGAGAATTACATAAAGCTTCACATGAGACACTTAGCCTCCACACGAACAACTAATGAGCACATGTCGTCTTCTCCGCAAGCTGCATCAGAAATGGAAGCCTCTCCTTGCCTCCGGTGACCGGCCAAACCAAAGCTCTGTGGAGAATAATTGCGTTGCTAATGTTATATTCCTTGTGTGTGTATATCACTATAATGGGATTGTTTATCTCTTTCCGATAATGAAATGCCAGGATTTAATTTGCGGAAACATATAAATAAATAAATGGAGATCGTGTTTCTAAAATAAGTTGGAACGTCCAAGAGTAATTCAACCAATTCATTGCTACCAGTAAATAATTAATTCATGAGAGAGATATGGAGATAGAGAGAGAGTGTAGGGGAAGGCCCCTGCTGTGACCCAGTTTTCATTATATCAAAGATAACTACAAGAGGATCAATCAGGGGTTAGGGGAGTTACATATGAGACGCAGAAGACTCACTTTCATTACTCTTCTTTGTTTAGTAATCCCAACAACATGCGACGCCCAAACTCAATAAAACTCTCTTACTGTATTCCAAATTTATTGAAATTCTGGTTTTATTTTAAATCAAACTTCTATAAATTTGACCAAGTTTACGGAAAATTATGTTAATATGTACAACATCAAATATATATAATAAAATATATTTTTTGATAGTACGGAAACTATTTTTTGTATTGTAGATGTTGATATATTTTTCAATAGACATGTGAAACTTAAATTATTTTGAGGTAAGGCAAACACTGAACTTTAAATATCCAGATGTAATCCCCGCAAAAAAAAATCCAGATGTAATATATTCACTATTTTAAGAATAACTTTACTTTACTTTAAATTGGTAGTGCACACACTAGCTAGCTGCGCGGGATTCCGGTCCATCGAACACTATATGCAGGATATTACCACATACATGCACACATGGACATTTCTAATATTCTGTACGTGAGGATGCCAACAAGATAACAAGGAACCTTAGCCACCGGACTACCACATACATGGACAGATGAATACGCTGAATGGTGTGCGCGTGAAGGTGAAGATGCCCACAAGATAACAAGGAACCTCGGCATCCATCAACATGCTGAGACGTTATGATCCAAAAGACTCTGCAACTAGTCAACTAAGATACTCGGAAGGAG